TAGGAAGGTTGAGAACCGCTTCCTCAGTGGATGCTAAGGTGGGTGGGTGCTTGATGTGAAGCAGGACGTCAGCCTTAAAGTATCTTCTGGAAAGTACTTACTGACTGCAAGGGGGCACATGGTTACTTTATTAAAGAGAACCCTGGAAAACAGCAGGTTGACTAAGTGATCAAGATGAGCATCACTAGCAGTGGAACTGATCACATCGTGTGCCTGCTGCGGTAACGTGCGGAGAAGAGCACAGCGCCTTTTCTGTCGCATTCCTGCTAAGAATGCAGGGCCTGAGTCTGGACATGGGGAAAGTTTCAATGGACCCAAAGTGAGAGGCATCAATGAAAGTTCCATATTCTTTAATACTCTTAAGACAGAGAAAGACAGAAGAACTAATGGATCCAAACTGAAGGAGACTTCAGAGATATGACAACTAAATGCAACCCGTGGTCCTTGACTGGCTTCTGGACCAGACAGGAAAAATAAACAGTTGGCAAATATTGAGTGAGGTCTGTGGACTGGATGGCTGTGCCTTATCAATGCTGATAAGGTTCTCCCTTTCATGGAGTTTGCATTCTGGGGTGGGAGAGACAGAAACATTTTGAGCTTTTGATTGTGCCAGAAAGCGCTATGAAGAAAAAGGCCCCCGAATGAGGGAGGGTGACCTGTTTTATATCAGGGTCAGCTGCTCTGATGAGGTGACTTTTGATTAGAACGCTGAAAGAAAGGAGAGCTCCATGTGGCTATGGGCGGGGGGAGGGGACTGGTTGTATGAGGAAGAAGGACCCATCAGCACAGCAGTCCTGAGGCAAAGGTGTATTTGATGTGCTTGAAGAACAAAGAAACCATCGAGGGTGGAGAGGGGTCAGAAAGAACGAGTGAAGGACGTGAGATCAGAGAGATGGGAGGCAGATCATACGCAGCCTTGTTGTCCAGGGTAAGAACGCTTTGGTTTTTATTTTGAGTGATAGGAAACACCTCTGGAGAGTTTTAAGCAGGAAAGTGACATAGTCTGACATGCTTTAAAAGTTTCTTCTGATGGTATTGGAGCAAGTCTGGGAGGAAGGAGAATAATCAGGAACTATAACTGTCAATTCAGGAAACAGAGGATAGTGCCCTGCCAGGACCATGGCAATGAACGTGGCGAGCAGTGACTGGATCCTCAATAGATTTTGTAGATGGAACGAACAGAATTCTCTGGGGCATTTGAAATGGGGTTTGGAAGAAAGAGAGGATTCCAGAAGGACTCTACAATTTGGAGCCTAAGCAACTGACAGAATTGTCGTCATCCGGGAAGAGGAAGATTGCAGGAGATTCTGGTTGGGATAAGAATCAAGAGTTTTGAATGTATTGGATTCAAGGTGCCTAGAGACATGCAGATGGCAATTTCCTGTCATTTGCTTCTGCATAGTGTCCCAGAAGGGAGATTACTGAATTAAAGCACGTGAGCGGGTTTCAAGTTGTTGCTGCATACAGGATGGCCAAGTTGCTGTTCCAAAGGCTGGCCTCACTTAATATGCCATGCCTCAGAGTAAAGGGAGCTCCCTAAACTGGTTTTTGAAATATCACTAGAAGACAGCTTAGTGGTGAGTTCTGGCCTAATGGGGGGACTCTCTCCACCAGCCCAGCAGCCCAGTCCAAATAGAATTAGTAGGTTTCCCCAGGGCTCTTTTGTGTGTGAAAAATATTATAAACGGAGCCACTTGAAAATGGAGTCGAAGCTGCCATCCCGGATGAACTGCCTTGCATGTCTTATTCCTCAAGCCTTTGGAATGTTAAAACTGGGCAAAATAAT